AACGAAACGAAACTAGAGAGAAGTCAATTCTCACGTTCTGCTTTTAAGTAATTGTTTTTACAATTGAGAGCGCACGATCGAGAGAAACGCTCGAGTTGCTAAAGCACCTGACGCGGGATAAATGTTTGAAAAAATGCGGAAACTCGTACGAATGGACGCGGAACACAGTCATTCGATGACTGTTTTCCTTCGTCGCTTCGTCGTTATTGCCACTGTCCAACGTACAACCTTTCCGTAACAATGTACGATAACGCAACGTCGATAGCAGTTGCTCCAAGCACGAGGAAATGAAAGCTTGCTGCACCAACCTGTACGACTTTTGAAGGCTATCGGGTTTTCTAACCACGCCTTGTGTCGATGGTTTATCTGAAAAATCGCGAATGTCTCGAAGGAAGAAACAACGGAGGCAACCACGTTCCAAATACGTACGATAATAATTGCTCCTGCATATAGAATGGAAAATATATCCCTGCCAGTAGAATTTTTACGAATTCCTCGTGTACGACGGACATTGTTCGAGCTTTAAGAGCGAGATTCGCTTAGAATTTCATTTCCGGAGAACGCCTCGGAGGATATTCGAAAGCACCGGGTATCGTAAGGTATTTAAGAAACGAAGTGGGTCGGACAACTGGTCGTGCTAGCCATAACTTCCGGCGACCTTTAGCGGTCGCGAGATGACCGTTACGTGTGTTGTAATATAACGTAATTTACCGTAAGGTAACGTTACGAGTGTCGCGTTCCGCGCACAACTCGATAAAGAGGAATCCTCGGTTTGTCCGTTGGAGGAAACGTATTTGCATTATCCTGGAATAGCCGGGGGGCGTTTCGAAGTGTCTACGCGATTCTGCAAGCGAGTCGAATGGCGAGAGAATTCATTTCGGCTTGATTTTCTAGCCATTTTAGAAATAGCGTAGAAACACGATCGCGTAATCGTGGCTTCTCCCGAACGGGACGAACAACGCGACTAAATTTCCCAGCAGGCCTGAGAACTCGCACAACGGTTCGTCGTGACACGAGCAAAGAAAGCAACAACGAAACTTGTGTAACCGAACAACGCGGCGATTCTCTATCTCCGAGAGGAACGCAGTCATCCTTCTGCTTTTTCCTGCCGCTTTTACACAAACGATAACGATCCGTCTGCGAACTGGAGCGCGATAGAGCGCTTAATTAATTCGAAAATATGCCGCGATTAACCCGAATGCTCTACATTTTTTATCCAAAACCGAGGCAAGACTAGAAAATTCCGATCATCGAATCCTATACCGAACAGAGAGATCCGTAAACGTAACTTTCAATGGCTTACGTTACGGTTTTCGATCCGTTCGCCTTAAGCAGAAATTTCTATAGTTGGAAAAGCAAAAATCGATAAAGACGAATTAAGCGCTGTCGGATGTTAATGTAAATACGACATAATTCGTTTCAAAGACGGAAGATCTATATCGTAAATCGTCTCTTTAATCGGGGAAAGGTAAAAAATACCGAATTACGTAGTCAAAAGCTATCACGAAAGCCAATCTTATCTCCAAACTACTTTCACCAGTTTCCGTTTCGAAATTGAGAGAATCTGCTCTGAATACATCGAAAGCTGAATCTTCGAATATCGTCCGCTAGATTTATCGAAATATATTTCTGTAAAATCGTTGCCATCTATGCGAATTCTCTTCGCTATTTGCTCGTAGAAGGCCGAGTAGGTGTTTCGAAAAAGTTTCATCCGTGAAGTAGAGGAGCAGATATACCGGGTACCCTAAGAGTGAAGTTCTCTTTGTTCTAGTAATTAACAGAAGTAGCATGCGCAGCAGTGACGACAAAGTCACACCCGGTATTACGTGATCGTACATTTATATAACACCTACATTATCCTTGCATTATATGGTTAGCAGTGGTGACAGCACAGAGAAAGTTCCTAACCGTTCCCATATGCTCAAGTGCCTGTACCGGTCTACGGTCGACGCCAGAACTACGTCTCGATTATGCTTTATACAACTCGATATCGAACTTTGGCAATCCACGTCCACCTCCGTGTCAATTTTTAATACGATCGTAGCTACGATATTGCGTCAATGCCGAAACGCTCTTACGAAATTCTTGCATCGAATTAATTAGAAATATTTCTGCCTGTTACAGTAGCGCCAACATGCGGGAGAAAAGGTGGCTTCTGCTCGCTCTGTATGGTAAGTAAAACATACGCTTCCAAGACTCGCTGCCAAACACGATGATCTCCCTGTGCCATTTAAAACATAACGCACACAATATACGCAATATCTCCGGGGTGGTTTAAATTCTCGATCGTATTTCGATGGAAACAAAAGCGCAGTTAGCGATGGTTGCGATGTGACAGAGCTTAGTATTTTTGGACTCTCCATATCCGGAGAGGAATGCCGAAGACAGCGGTCGACCTTCCATCCGAGAGTTTAGCATCCATGTTATTCAAGGTTCGTTCACACCGGCGTCCCACGTACGTATATTCATCCTTCGGTACGAATCGAGTTCGCTTCATAGAGTTTGATACGGTAGGACGATCGAATCTGTCAACTTATTTTGAAAAAGAAGATGCTACGATTCGTATTCACGACACAGATAAACCGCGTACGTGTGACGCGCGAAAGAACTTCACAGAAAGAATCCACAAAGGAAAAGAGAAACCTGTTGTGCATATCAACAAGTCCGCTTCCTTTGTCCTATCGCGACGTGCAGTGCGAACCGACGAGCTCCGAAATTCTCTATCGATCGAGGCATCGGAAAAACGAGACGAACGTATTACAAAATTTCGAGCAAGCAGCTTTCGTCGCTAGCCGACACAATCCTTTGGACGTACAAGCAATCGTCCGACGAGACATTGTTAAACGATCGCGTGTACACTTAACGCGGTTTCTGACATTTTCACTTGTTCGACGACTATTCGTTTCTCGTATCGAGCGACAGCCAGCCGAGGCCTTCGAAAACTTGTTTGAAAGCTACCGAACGATACGGTGTACCCTACGCTCGCGTCTCGATTCCTCGGCATCGCAAAAATTTTCAGCCATAGTTTTGCACGAATGTTTACCATTCTTAAACTAGTTTACGTCGCCGATCTTTCGAATAATCTCGGTACTACCATTGATCGATGTATCGCGCGTGATCGTGGAAAAGTTGCGATTAACTTCTTACTTCGATTCTCCTATCTTATCTTCAAACGTAAGAAACTTCGTTAACGTAACGTAACGTAAGAATTAAATGACGCGATTGGATGGAAAATGAGCGAAAGAAATTAGTATCGTCGCGCCCTTTTTTTAACGAGAATGCCATGACATTCCCATTCGAGCGGGAATCGAAAAGACAATCGTTAGTTGGCGATACGATAGAATCGGAACGAAGCAATTTGTTTAGACCGCCGCTACGGCAGTCTGTTTCGTCACGAAAATGTTTCGCCGTTACATTTCCAGCAGGGGTGTGCCCGCGCCAGCGTTTCTCACAAACGGAATGCGAGCACGTTCCCATAATTCATTTTTATGCAACGTCGCCGGTTGCTCGTTGTTATCGATTCCAGCTTGGAAAACCACGATCCCGTTACGAAGGTGCACAACCGCTGCCGGACGACGTGTTTTTCAACATCGAGGACGTTGACTCTCCGAAAAGGACCGTAAGGAGACCCTCGCACCCACGTCGATCGTCCGATCCACTTCGCTATCGGACACCCCTTACAAAGAGAGTATCGGCGAAAGTATCGCGTTTTTTTCCACGGGACGACGAGTTATCCTGTCTGGTTCGAAAGGTTGTCGCCAATCCGCCGACCTTGAACCGGTTTGATTTAATTAGACGTAGTTGGTGCGCAAAGATTTTGCGATAATTCAAGTTCATTAACGGGATATCGTTATGGTAGCGAGAAAAAAATAAGAGACACGGCAAAGGTTTATCCTTGAACGCTCGGTCCGACGAAAATAAAATGATTAGACGTATCGTATCGTACAATCTGCTCGTAAATCAACGAAAGTCACCCACGAAAGAAACGATCGATAGACAGCCTTGATCTGCTTGAAAACAATTGCCCAACCGAACGCATTCACCTGCGCCGCGAAAATTGCAACACTTAAAACCGAGCTCTCGCTGCTCTTCTCATGCGCAGGTTTCGCAACGCCGACGCTTCTTCGTGACTTATGCAATCCGTGAATGCGTATCGGCCTTTGATTATTTACCATGTGTCTAACCGGTGTCCCATTCCAGCACGTTCCAGCGATCAAACCTGTCCCGTTGCTTTTAATAGTCACGTTTCGATCGACAACGTTTACCGCAATACGGGAAAACCGAAGGGGAAAGATCAACTACGAAGTTTCGGATAATATTTCGTCTTAACGACCAATATCGAATATTTTTTTCACAATTTCAGGAATTCTGTTGACCAACGCAGTTTCAGCCGAACGAAAGCCTACCAGGCCGAAATTCAAGATCGCGACAACTTCCACGTCGACGACCACAAGCAGCACCACCGAAGACAGCCACGTCCGCGAGAATGAAAACGAAGATACGGAGGTACGTCCTAACGAAGTAACATTCTAATCGCAGACATGCAGATATAATTGCGCTCAACTCTTTTTGGCGTATCTGATCGAATCGAGACGTTGCTCGCGTAGCTCCGAGCACTGAATTTATAATGCGAAGCGTGGTTGTAGCGCGATCCTGTCGTGTTGCGCCTCGATTTACCGCTGCAGGAATAGAACGGGCAGATCGTTTATCGTCGATGATGCAAATCGCGTTGATGATGCTCGAGTCACGACAAACCACGCGTCTGTTTCTATTTTCCAATTATACATGCCAGTGTACTTGATGCAACGAAACGAAGATGCATAGAGCGAAAGATCGCGACACCGGTAGCATCGTCTACACGATACGTCTCTTTACGAGCGTTTCTCCCAAATCGTTGTAATCTCCCAGATCGTTTAGATCTCTCGATTACGCCACATTCATATCAAATTAATTAACGTCTATCTAAAGCACCGTTGGGGCGCGTTCAAAGACAAGTTTACCTTCACATAGAAACGGCATCGTGACATCATCGAAAGTAGCATCGCGAGCACATCACTGACCGTTACCAAGAGCCACGGTAGAACTACGATGCATTAGATAACTACCGTCTCACAGGCTAGATACGCGCTACTACGCTCGCAAACGTGCGGACGCTTGCTTAACTTTCGACAGAATGGCAATGTTTGAAAATTACAAATAAAAAGACTCGGAAATCCTTAGAAAATTTGTATCTGTAGGCGTCTGACGTGAAAAAGGACAATCTTGTTACTCAACCAGTTGCTTATTCTCAGCTCGTTCGACCGTCAGGCTATACGTAGACACGACAAAGAAGATTCTTCCAAATCAATAGCGATGTCGTGATTTTGGCAATAGTATTTAAAATCAATTGACACTTGATCGAATTGTGTATTTGATTTTAATATACTATGATATACGTATATACGTTGACTCTAGAAAAAAATAGTAAATCTTAATGATACGCACGTTTTGTTATTACAAATCGATCAACGTGTCCAGATACTTACGAGTGGTAATGTAACTGATCGAGAACGCTGTTCGTGATTTTCTTCAGACGATCACAACGGTGGCCAGCGAAACGAACGCGACGACTGGACACGTCCTCACAGGAATCCCGCAGATCGATTACATCTGGGACCCAAATCTGCCTCGTGAACTGAACGGCTACAATCTCAGCGATTATCCGTTTTACAACAGCATACCGGAGGACATCGACTTTAAATGCGATGGTCTTCACGATGGCTTTTACGCAAGCGTGCCTCACAAATGCCAGGTGAGAACTATGACTCTTCGTAATTATTCTGCTTGACGCGGTATCAATCGCTTAGCTATTCTTGGCGATGAAAATTGGTGGACTTTCTCTTTCTGTAAATAAAGTGAACATCTTGAAGGATATACACCGTCGACTCGAAGATGCCTCGATGGTTCCAAAGGGGAACGAGCGCTCGACCGTTCGCTTATTCTCTCCGTTATTTTACGTTCACGATCATTTTGCATAATTGAGCGAACTTTGTCGTTTATCGTTTCTCGTTTCTCGGAGACCTTCTTAAAAGTAACGCGAAGATTCCTACAACGGGGAAGTCGCGCATAAAACTGTAAGATCGAGGAAAAGTTAATCCGCGTGTGGAAGAACGCCAGTTGCTTCTCAACTATTTCGAAATGTCGAAATTTCATCAACCATGTAACGTACACTTACTAATACGTAATACATCGTAGTAATAAAATTTTAAAAAGTTACGTGTGACGCGTAACATGTTCGCAAACATTTTCCAGGCAGATGTCCAAATACCTTTCCGAGTCGCTTTAAATCTTTGCCCACTCTCGCGAATTTACTTGACAAATACCAGAGTATTCTTTATCAGGAGGGACGCTATGAGAAAAAACACAATGTGTACGATGAAACGTATGCAAGTATCGAGAAACACCGTGCGTAGCGTTCTTGCGGAAATCAGTCCGTAATCGCGAAACGATCGTGAAACGTGGGACCGATCGCGTCCATTGCAAGAGTAAAAGTGGGTATCGTGATCGCTCTAGTGAAAAGGAAAGTCAGTGTCATCTGGATGAATGCCCGGGAAAGATTTTCTGACAAGGTGTATCGTCCACTCGCGCAATGAACAAACGTCAACGGTCCGTGACTGCGGTTTTCCCGTTTCTATCGACGGGACGAGCACCGACCGCGAACGAAAGAGATCACATTTTGATGGCGAGAACCATCCTTCTTATCCATCAGGTCTAACTAGTTCCTGCCACGACGCAAGTCTATCCTTTTCGTAATATGTTTTACGAACACAAAACAAAACGATCAACCTTATGGCAAATAGAGAAAAGAAAATTCGCGATCCGATATCGAGTAGAACAAAAAACTGATCGATTCGAAAATCGTCAAACGTTTCGAGCATTCTAAAATCGATCGTCCATTTACGTTCAAAGCAACGGAACCGAAACTGCAAGTTTCTAAATAATCGAGAAACAAACGAAACGAATTTAGCGGACGATTTAGTACTTGAAAAGAAAACGCAAATTTTACACCTCGACGTAGTACGCGTAGGAGAATGCTGGTTGGAAAAGCGAGAAAGACGAGGTTGTGGCGGAAAAAACACGAAGAAGAGAGGAGACTTTCGCGGTCCGATACACTTCCCGTCCCTGACCGTTTCGAGATTCACGCGCGGCGATCTTGCGATTGTGAAAGCGATTGCAAAGTACCCCTTTCCGACGTTCCTTATCGATTGTTTAGCCCCAGCTACCGAACGAATGGGCCTATTGTCATGCAAATGTTCGCAGATTCGCCTCGCTCAGCCCTCCGTGAAGCAACGATGCCGAGGCAAAACAGGATATCATACAGAAACAAGTAAAAGAAAAATTCTTCCGAAGCAAAGCGGATCGATCTGATAGAACGTTACACGATTAGACGCGTGTTTCGCTTCATCCAACTTATTATCGCTAAAATGGTTTTACGATACTTTTCGGGCGATCGTGCTTCTCCGATAACCGTTCGCGATCGAGTTGGCCGTACGTTTGACATTTAGCAGCTGGAAGTTGAGCAATAATGGCGATCCATCATCGCGAAATCGCTCGACTAACCCGGTTCGAGATGCTTGGAAACAACAGCAGAGTTTCGAGTAATTTTAAACCGAGCGCGTTCTTGTCATGCAGATACGCAACGAGTTACTTCCTGCAATTTAGAACAGCGGACTCTGACTTTCCAATAAAATTACCAAAGCATAGAGAAACTACAGGCTGTTGGAGACTAGCGAGCGCGCACGCGAAAAGATTCGATTAAAAATTGGGATAAACGAGAAAAAATAGAATAACGATTGGCCAACGAAGGAAGTAGTCGAGGATCTCCGTCCGTCGTTCAAGACGGTGAAAAAATGAACGAGACAGCGTGTCGAAGAAACAAAGTCGAACGAAGAAGTTGTTGTACGAAACAACCTGGACGTGCTCTGAATGATTCTAGATAATACCTTTAGATAATCCGACCAGACGGTCGTAGATACTTTTACAGAGACAAGCCGCCTATATGTGTAACACCACCAGACGCGCTTGTGGTAATTACTCGAGCACACGTAGTCACGGTGTGAAAGCTACGATAGCTTCTAGCAACGACGAGCGTCCGTGTTCGGTGAAAAGTATGTTACTAGTGTCGAAGATCGTTTCCTAAAAAAAAAAAGTGATCAAAATGTTCCCGACGAGATAGATACTCCTTGAAGAAGAAAAAAAAGCGCTCCTACTTTCACGAATTCCGAACTTTCAAAGCTTCTTCATTTTTGATTTCGACATATCTGTAATTTCATCGTGATCTGTTTGTTTTCATGGTAAATCCAATAATTCGCGTTTCTTCTTTTTCAAGGTGTACCACCACTGCCTTTTCGGAACGAGATACGACTTCCTGTGCGCGAATTTCACGGCGTTCGACCAAAAGACCTTCATCTGTCACTTCGTCTCCGAAGTCGACTGCGCCAATTCGAAGAAATACTGGCACAGGAACGATGCCCTTTACAAGGCCACTACAACGTCCACAACATCCACGTCGACGACAACTACCGTGGCACCGGTAACAGCCGCCGCAGGACGTCAGCTACCGAGGGACAGAGATCTTCCAAGAAGAAGAAGACCCTTCAGAAGACGGCCAGCGTACGATTACTACGACGAAGAATATTACGACGACGATTATAGTCGACCACGTGGCTACAGCAGAGACGACTACGACTACGACGACCGAAAGTACAGAAGAGACAGAGATCGTGACTTGAGAGATCGGGATCGTGACTTCCGAGATAGAGACGTTCCAAGGTCTCGGGAAGGAATCCCCAGGGACGACAGAGATCGTGACGCGAGCGCCAGGGATCGGTATCCGCCTAGAAACAACAGAAGAGACCCTACTAGGGCGAGAGATCCTCTCGAGGAAGATACAAGAGTCAGATCTAGAGATCCCGATCAAGGATCAAGGTCCGCGTCTAGAGAACTCGACGACACGGAATTGGACGATCGACGAACCGAGTCGAGGCTTAGAGACACCGACGATCGTCGGTACTCCGATAAAAGGTAATTCCTTCGTGAACAAAAATGCGAATGTTTTACCGTTTGATAGTTTGATAGTTGATAGACGACGAATTAAGCAAATTCTTTCGTAGATATAGAGACGATTACGACGATAAAGAAGCTGGTTCTCCGCCTTCAGGCGCGACTGGAAACTCGGATGGCTTGGTAAAACCTGCAGCACCTGCAACATCGGTCTACGCAAGACCGAGAACTCCTCCGAAAATTCGAAGACCCGTGCCGCTTTCCGAACAGGACAGATACGCGTACAAAGCTACAGCTGTTCAATCGACCGGTAAATTTCTTGTGCCGACGATGTTTGAACGATTCGTCGTATATGTCGATTAATTTAGATTAAATAGGATACAAGATTTTAAACGCGCGCAATCCACGCTCTTTGCAGAAGAACCTCGAAGAAGACCGGTGGACGTTGCAGACGATGACTATTACGAAGACGAGTTAGAAGATGTGAGGCCGATTCGAAGACCACTGAGAAGGAGACCAGCTTATAGAGACAGGGATCGAGATTTCTATGACACCATAGAAAGGGATAGGGGCCGACCCTACAGGTAAGGTAACGTACGTACACAACACTGATACAATTATCTGTATATTCGTCTGTCGTAACTAATCGATCGCAACACATTATCTAACGATACCGTAACATGCGTAATGCGCGAAGTAACATACGTGCCTAACACAGCAACATCATCGAACGTACATTCATATAAAAGATACAGTTACTTCGGGTTAAAGAAAATTAACAAAATTTCTAATTTCAGAACTCGATATCGGGACGACGAAGACGACCTGCGATCGAGAAAACACTCGGATCGCTCGAGAGATCGCTACTACGATCGAGATAGGGATCGGGGTGTAGAACGTGGAAGGGATCGATCCCTCGATCGTGGAAAGGATCGTAACGCGGAGAGACCACCGGATCGTGATCGAGGAAGAATACAAGACACGGACAAGCCAGAAAGACCGCATCGACCTCAAGATAAAGAACGCGAGCCAGATCGTTCTAGGACGGGTTCAAGATCCAAGGATTTACAAGAAACTACAGACTCGGCCAGAAGAGGCAATGGTTACGATCGCACGGAAAGGACCACTACCACTACGACGACTACCACGTGTTTGCCCGAACAGCTCGTTCATAAAGCAGAATCGATTTCGAAAGAACCAACGAACGATAGACAAGCTTTTGCCGAAAAACAAGCAAAATCTGCGCAGGCTCAAACAACGCGAACGCCGATCGAGGATGGAGAATCGTATCGAACGAATCAGCAGTCGGATTACCAAGAACGAGATCAGGACGAAAAGCGTGATCGTGGCCATTATCATACCGCGTCGTTGGAGGAATACTCGCAAGATTATTACGACGAACCGGAAGATCCACCCGCTCCACCACCAAGAACCACGGTTCGCATCGTTAAACGACCCTTCTTACCATCTAGAGGCGGGAACCCTAATCCAAGAGGCTTGTCTCCGGTCGGTGTGAAAGCTACCACGTCTAAGAAGGAAGAGGACAGACCGACTGAAAGGACAAACGTTCAGGAGAGAGGAAAAAATTATTACGTGCATGAGGAAACGCAGGACAATCTCGAGGAATCTAATCAAGAGCCTAAAACGCAACAAGAGGAGAACGAAAATCACGATACGTACAGGAACGTTCAAACAGAGAGTCAGCATGGATATAACGACGAATATGATACATCTATAGCGAGACCTGCGATTAGAAGGCCGACTGAGAGACAAAGGGAAGAAGAACAACAAAAGACTATAAGCGATGCGTTTGTTCGGACATCCAAGCAGGAACAAATAGAAAATGAACAGAACTTTGGAGGACTAGCCAAATGGCCCACCGAGGAATTTTCCAATCAGCAGAGTAACGAAGGAAACGTGCAGATCTCGGGTTCGTTCCGTAACAAAGGCCGATTAACCGTAACCGAAAACTCAAACGTTTACGGGTCTACCTTTAAAAACGAAGAAGCCGAGGAGCAACCAACAGGACCTCAGAGTTACAGAGTGAAACAAAGGCTGAACGAGGTGACGCATCGTTTGCAGGATATCCCGGAAAGCGAGTACGACGTCACTTTGAACGACGCATTAACGCCTACGCTGAATCAGGAGGCAAACTTGCCCAGTGGATTCGTTCTACCTCTTCACCGACAACTAGGAAGAGACGCGGTTCTACAATCATCCGAGAATAATTACAAAGTTTCCAGGCCCGTGAATCAACAGCAGCAGAAACCATTCGTTTCTAATTCTCAATTTTTGCCAGCAGTTAGCAACAACGACAGACTAAGAACCGTATATTACAGAACGCCCGAAACGATTCAGATCGGTGGAGCGCAATATAGGCCGCAAAGAGGATCATGGCACGATTACACCGGCTACTGAAACAAATACTAACGACGAAGAAATCTTGACAGAAAGCTTTGGAACGTTAGGAAATCGGTCGATTCGGGCACGTTTCGTCGATCGAACGTTTCAAGGAACAATCTTTTACAGAAGCTAACTTCCTTTCAGAATAAAGGAATTTATTAGACCCTTGGTCGTGTGGTCAAACTTTTCGATGTCTTTCATAGGAGGGGATAGGAAAGCGGATGGTTTTCGTGTATTAGATCTTGAAAGTAGAGGACGAATATCCGAATAATCAAACTACTACGCAGAGAGGCGAGCAAATATCGAGCACAGTTAAAGCAAATCATCACGAATCCAGAAATTAATGACCTTTTATTCGACCGAATGATCGAAAAACTATCACTGTCCAAAATAGCTTTTAGCATTAGTATCGACGACGTTAAATTCATTCTATCCTGTAGTAGTTTTTCAAAAACTATGTTTTAAATATTAGCCACTTATTAACTAGCTTAACTTATTAGCTGTTCAACTATTTTTATTTTATTAACTGTCACAGTATAAATCTCTGATCGAAGATGTAAATTACAACGGTTTCTACTTTCGGCTAATCTTGTAAATATGCGCACGATTATTCACTATTCCTTCGGATTAAATTATTACTCCCAGTGCGATGATACGCGTGTAAACAGTTTTCTACGAAAGCACATTCGTCGTCTCGATTTTCTTTTCGACAATAGTAGCAAGTAAGTTTTCTCGAGTATGCATTTTATCTTTAATGTAATGTAAATTATACCAGTCTTGACGTACGATATTAAAGAGTGACAAAACGTATAAATCTAATTCGTATCCCAACATGAACTTCGTTGCGGCCCGAATTTCCTTCCCTCTTCAACATCTATATTTAAAATATTAATATATTAAAGAGTGACAAAACGTATGAATCTAATTCGTATCCCAACATGAACTTTATTGCGAACTGAATTTTCTTCTTTCTTCAACGTCTGCACTCCTCTCTGCGCGGTCAAGCTCCTTTCTTCTTTCTTCCTTCTTCTAGTTGACGTTTGCTATAAAAATATTGAGATTGATTAACCTCGAACACTGCATATAACGACGCGACTACTAAAATTAATTATTAAATCGACCGACAGTCGATATGCATATATAAACGTTACTATTTTATATTAAATGTATTTCTTACTAATTTAAAAAAAATTTTTTAACTAATTTTAAAAAGATATATGCAGTGAACGAAGGTTGATCTCGTAGCCATTAGCTCGATATTACGTACGTACAATACAGGTATTATATCGTACAATACAGGTATTATATCGTAAGTAATATCGATTGCCCAGGTTTCACCACGGGGAGGTTGCTACGAATGGAAACCCACAAAAATAAGATCATCTTCTATCTTAAAGAGATCAAAATTCTATTCATTGTCGCATAACTTATGTAAAGATTAAATTATACGAGAATGAACAACGGTACGTATTAACTAAACAGGTTGATTAAGAGGAGCGTAAAATAATCAATGGTAGAGCGTTTGAGTGTTATTTTCTTTATTTTCTATTTTATATTTATCGATGTTGAATATTTACAAATCCTTCATTGTGGTCATTGATGACTTAATTCTGATGACACGTTTCGTAAGCATTTATTAGAAATAGACAGATTCAGTGCTTTTTGTTAGATTTCTCTTAACTTTTAGATGCGCAGTTTTAGACATTTTTTGGCCACAAAATTTCCTATGAGAAAACAATGTTTCATTGTCGGGGAAACTATCAAATTTCTTGTTAATATTTTGCATTTAAAGCAGTTATGCGATATGTACGTACAACGTCAAGGAACTCGAAAATACAGTATGTTCCTGCAATCGAGCTAGTATTACTCTTAACAAATTGTGCCACGAGAACGTTAATCAATCGATAATAAATGTTATCAAGGATAACGTAAAATACATCACAGAGTAAAATTTACAACTCAACAGAGCCACGTACACACAAACCAAGTCATCCCTGTAAATACGAAAGGATGAATTAAATCTATAGAATAACATTCTCTCTTCCATCTCGCTTGATTCAATTTCCAACTACCGCAACAAATTGTAATGCAAGATTGTCGATGTTTTGCGTAAACGTGGCTATTATGAAAAACGGTAACAATAATTACAGTCAGTCGAATTGTCAAACTGCATCGCTGAAGTGCATTCTAATAGACGTGTCGTTAACAAGTGAAATGAGCGGTGACGTTCATCGCATCTACGATCGTATCGCAAACTACGAGAGAATTTCCGGCGATACGTAACTAAAAACAATAATTCGCTAATACCTGTCGCACCGTTTCAATTTGTACTCGCCAACTATAAAAATATCAAATCTCGTCTCACGATGCCGAGCGGTCTAACCAATCAGAATCGATATCTCGAGCACCGCCTAATTGCTCTGATTACCTTCTAGCGCGTAGTTCTGTACATAAATGATAGAGTATAAGAATAGGTTAAATATATATATATATATATAATATTTATATTTATATATATCTTGCTATATATATATCTATATATAAATATATATATATAATATATATAAATATATATATAAATATATATATATATATATATATATATATATGCGTATAAATCCAAAATAAATGCAAATGTGTACGTTTCGATAATCTTTCGCAAGAGATAGAGACTCGTCCCTTTTCTTAGGAATATTCGTGTATATATATGCGATTTTCTTCAGAATTACAATTAGATTATACGCTATAGGAAAGAGACTGATTGGCTGGCAAGAATACGCACCCGCGGAATGGCGGAAAGTTATTTACAAATTTCTTTATATTACAAAAACAATACCGAGCGCGATAAGAAATGCAACGTTCTTTTGGTATGAGTGTAGCAGTGTCTAAACGTCTTGCAGTTTAAAAGTTAACTCCCTTCGACTCGTAACAAAGACAAAAATCATCGACTCCTCTCGCGGTTAATCAATAACACGTTGCAGGAATATTTAAGGAGCGTACTAATCATACGTGACAGAAATGATAATAATGACGTGACAATTAATTAATAATAATTAATTAATTATATATTACATAATATATGGTAATTGCGCAGTAGATGCTGCACTATACGCAACATATATTATTAATTAATTACGATTACAAAATGATACATGTACGTGTAACAAAAAGATGCCTTTGCTTGCAACTGGCACGTATGTATATCGTAATTTAGATTTTGAAATGTTTATTCTTTGGTAAAGTGACATCCGTTTGAGAGTTATCCTCGAAAGAACAAGACATTCAGAGAGAACGGTAAAACTTTATCCACGCGACACGATTCAATATCCCGAATGTATCGTCAATTTCCACAAAAGTTTCAACATTGGCAAACAATAATATAAATTTATACGCAATCTTGCAAAGGAAGACAGTCTATAAAATTATCGGATCGACGTTTAATCGCGTCACATGCACAAATTTCGTTGCATGATCGAAGATACAGTTGAGAATGTAAATATGTAATTCATCCTAAATTTTGTATACAGCGAAAGATGGACCGATAGTCACCGATTTTATACAACATATCAATAACGTGTTAAAGTTTACTGACCAGCTTCTTAATGTTATCGTAAAAAATTATGCTTTCAATATGTTCTTACAAACTATCGAAACCGCAGTCAGTTATCCCGTATCCTTTATAACCATTGTATATAAACGTAGAATCGGTGATCGTGTAAGTAGCAGTATTCTTATGCAAACGTTCTGTACATATTCAATCGTTAAATAATAGCGACATAAATATCGTGCGATTATCAATAACCCTGCCAATATGGTCGGTGAAATGTCTTTTCACCTTTAGAAACGTACATACGTGTAATTACCATCTAAATGGATGTTATGTAAAAAGTCGGAGATGGATATGTTTTACACGTTCAAAGATGAAAGATTTACATTTATCGGCATAAAACACGTCTACTTACACCAACACTCGTTTACATTTAGCCTCTTAATTCAGTTCGACGATATTTTGCTTCGCACATACCTGGTATCTAAACCTTCCCTCCATATATAGGTACACAGAGTTACACAATATTGTTCCCTAAGCGTAACAAGCTCCAAGAGAAGACGTTCATGTGCGACGTTCAATGTTCGATTCTCGAAATGTCGAATGCTCCAAGTCACGATCACGGAGGTATAAGCGGTTAAATGCATTGCCTATAGAACTCGATAGAAATCGATAGAGAAATCGATCGAAATTTCCTTGCAACTCGCCCGGGAGGACGAGGCAATTGGACATGAACCGGTACTAGATTTTTATTGCGGTTATTCGGTAAGGCGATCCACGCAGCGGTAACTCAAAGCTTGTCGCTTTAAATTATGAATTGTGTAACTGAGCGTCTCTGCGTTAAAGTTCGTGCTTTTGTTAAAAAGTTTCGCACTTTGTACACGGCACACGTATTAATTACTATTAGGTACCAGCTTACGCTATCGGTGAATCGTCATCGTCGTCGTCGTCTCTTGTGACTAGCACATTGCCGTAATGATTTGAACGACGCTGTCGAACTCGTTGGAACCACTTATATCGCTTCTCGACGAAATACAGTAACATGAGCATTAGTATGAGGAAAGTCAGTATAAACAAGCCAGCACCTATGGGACTACCTAAACAAAATTTTAAAATAATTTCATTCAGCACCATCGACATGAAAAATCGTAGCGTTTCTTAATTAAACATTTCCTTCCGCGATAACCCTCTATCTCGTGGTTACTCTATGTACGATATAACGAGTTAACGCAATCGTATTATCGATCTAGAAAAAAAATACGGAAATTGTTTGCTCGACCGTTTACGAGATTTGCACAGAATAGTTTAGTTTGCGCCGATACCAAGCTAACTTTTTCACTACCAAGCTAAATTTTTAGGTTAGATCTTTCGCTGCCGACGTTTTTATATATATATATACCTCCTGAGTGGACTTCGATCGTTGACTGATCAATAATTACGTTGCGAAATGTAGTAACTTGGACACACTGGCCTCCGTCCGCTTCGAAACCTCTCACGCATCTGCACTGTGCTTCTTCGTTCTCCGAATTTTTAAAGCATCTTTCGTTTTCGCCACACTGATCCGTCGCTTTGTTGATGTCGCATCGTTGAAATTGGCTTGTCGCATTTTCGGCTGAAACATCTGAGTAGTCGGTAAATTACTCTCAATCAGGCAGCGCATCGAGATCAACGAGTAGCGTTACATTGTACGAGATGAGGCCCAATCAGCCGAATACAAATTGAAAGCAGGAGACATAGAAAGCTTAGCTAATTCGTCTAAGCAAAGGTTAATAGGGTGTGGATATCAGCCACGGCAGGTAAAAAATATTACAGCCCCGCAAACATTTGTAGGATTAACGTACTTCGGCAACTTTGATCCTACGAGTACAAAATAAAATAGTTCTCGAAGATGTTGCAACGTTTTACGAATAGAATAGAAACCTTTTACGAATATACTACGTGCGTTGTATGTAAACGTTTTGATATTTCGCGCAAACACGTATTTCACAAAGATAAGAAAAGTATTTAAACGCGATCGCAAACACTTAAAGGGATCGTTTTAACGCTAATTATTTATCTATACGAACATTGATTTCCTACAAAATAAACGTTTGCATCCTCTTCTAATTTCTATATACATTCTCAGATTGGTTTTAAATACCGATTGAATCATCATAGCCATATATCGTTACAGCGATGAATGAAATTTAAGAATGTCTTTATATAACACAGATAATGTGTACATAAAGTTTCCTACGATAAATACTCAAACGTCTACTTTCATGAGCTACAGAATGCACGAACAAAGACCACGTTTTATTCTACAGTGATCCATTTAACGAATCGTTATTAATCGATTTGCATGAAATGCACGCAAAACAATAGACAGCTCGGAAGAATAAAATGTTCTTAATGATATGATCGTCTCGCTCGAATTGAACGATAACGATAACTGCTGGCAAATTCATAGTCACGAGTTCGTCATTATCGTCTTTTTCTATCGCTATCGGAGTCAACCGACAATAACGATCATTTTTCGCTTCGTTTGAACAAAAGACACAAAGCGCTTCCAGCGAGAGTGGTATATCATTGCGACTGTATCGACACTGCGTGAGCCGAAATTGGCTGAATCAGTTAATCGAGGCGAATTCGTTTTATCAGCTAGAATACAGAGGTTAACTACACGGAGGTTGGTTGAGTCAAGCAAATTAACGGACTTTCTTCTGATTTAAGTCGATAGTATCGCATTAATTCGATAAGGTGCCTTCCTGCAATACACTTGTCAAAATGCAAACGAATTTCGCGAATTTCGCTGTAGGCAGTGTTAGGAATATCTGCTTGCCTTGAAACATCGCATTCAGTTTTCTGCAATTATATTTATTAATATAGAGTATCGCGGAATTTTTACTTAAAATTTACAGTTCTAGAACAACGACGTTTCGTTCGTTTGAACCTTACGTTACGTGTGTGCGCTACGAAAGGAAACGGCGGGACTCTACCAAAAGATTACATAGCAACCGAAAACTATTTGCACGTACGCTCATTCTCCAACCTTTGTACCGATATAAAGATTAATGATACGAAACTTTGATATACTTGAACCTAATTAGGTTAATTAGTATATAAATACTGTAAGAAATACAGTAAGACGCAAATACTTGTTACAGCCACTGCATGTTACATATGTAAATCTATCGACTATAGTTAGACTGTTAATAAGTCTGTTACTTCACTTTATATAGCACATACTGGGCCATGATAGAAACATTCTGCGTACGCGGTTGATAACCATATCTTCCGTAAAATAAATTACATGGGCGGACAATACAGGATGACTAACGGAATCGTCGCGAAATATTATTCGTTCGCAGAGCTAATTACGACCGCTAAATAAAGCGTTTGCACGTCAACTGCGCGTTAATTATTTCCCACGAAAGGGGATGCGAGACACAAAGTTACATTTTCAATTGAGCAGATTCGTGCGTGTCTTATTTATCTTGCACTATTCGTTGATGGCGAAGAATGAAAGAAGACGACGCTGTTGCTGATACTGATACTAGCATCAGTGTTGAATAACGTTAAACGCTACGTATGGACTTGTTATAACATTGACTCATCTTCTTCGTTATAAAGTGAACGCTGTGTGCCTTGAGCAAAAAAAGCGAACAAAGGTGTAAAATATATCAGCAACTGTAATTGAACGCGATAAGCTTCGTACCTTCTGGCTAGACAATAATAAATATTGCCAACGTATGTTTTCGTCCGTAGGTTCATGGAAATTCGTTGAAAGAAAAAATTGTCGGACATATAATTACAACGGGAAATACCGGCCGTTGTACATCAACTACCGTACAACCGAAACAAATTGATTATGCGATAACGAGCGTCTGCTACGTGCTACGTTAATCATTTATCTTCCATTGGGACAGTATGTACACGGCAGTAATTGATGTTTGAAAAATTGAACACGGAATATATGCGAGCGAATCGAGCGAGAGAAACGTGTTTCAACCAGTGAAACATATCGATGTGGCGTTGAAAAACACAACACCCGCGGCGGCTCGATTTCTGGACCATAAGCACCAAGAGGAGAAGAGACACGCGGATAGTCGGAGAGCAAGGGAATTGGAGAGAAATGGAAAGAAAGAAAGAACGCGCGCGCGCTCGCGCCAGAAAGAAAGAGACCGAGTACAGGAGAGGGGTAAAGGGAGAGACGGAGAAAAAGCGGAAGAAGACTATTGTGGCCTTACAGGGGTGACCCCAATGCTTCGATTGAACGAAGCAATTTCGGCCTCGCTCGGTGCAGAGACACTTAATTTGCTGGCAAACGCCAAATGTAAATTGTTTCAGAGAATCCATGCTTACCTGCGTAACTGGATGGCGCTAGAAAAAGCAGTGCCACGATGAGATAGCAGAAAACATTGCCTCGAACGTTTCGCATCTTGCTTTCTTTTTTTCCTTCTCGTGTTGACGCTTGCTCTTTGTATTTCTTCTCGGCCCTTCCTGATTCACGATCACATAATAATAATAATCGACAAAAATATTCAAAGTACACTCGCGATCGATGCGTTTGTGCCGCTCGGGAAACCCAATGTTGAATGCACAAAACGTACACGCACGTCTTTCGGTATTGTATTCGTTTAGATAACCTAAAAACCTCAGCGCAAAAACAATCAACAAGCACGCATAAGCCGGCTCATTGCCGATCGGCCGACCGTCACCAGTTTTGACAGATAAATGCTAGGCCGCGCCGCGGAACGCGTTCAATCATCTGTTATTAAACGACCATTTGCACTTATCGAACTCAATTGGCATCGAGAATCGCAGAATGTGTTTCGATTTCGAGACATCGAGATGGCGCTATGGTACGCGCGTGTACCTCCGACTGGCGCGACAATCAAAACGAAATTTCACGCACAAGCTGTTTAAATCTATTATTTCCAACTAATCCAGCTAAAAAAGAATTATGAAACAAGTGTTACGAAAAATAACGGCGTTCCTATTTGAATCTAATCTGAATTTTCATATTTATCGATCGTATTTTAAAACAAAGTAGTAATTGATCGCTATTTCGAATCTTATTCCGAATTTGTGTAAAATGAATACTTTTAAATCGGATAACCAAGACGATGACATATTTCTCTCCTTCTATGTAACTACGACATCTGGCTAACGAAAATCGATTCCCATGCAGGTTATTTTTGAAACACGGAATCAATTTTCCTCAAAAGCATGGAATTCGTGCATTTTTAAACGTACCTATATCGTACAAAAGGTACATTTCATATATTAGGGAAATCGATCGTTACAGTTCAATATTGTAACTCTGTTTCTAATTCACGTTTGGCACGTTAAAGAATATTTTGTCTATTGCAATGCACCGCTTAAAACATAGTTGCGATGACAGCGGCACGTGTCATGGCGAGTGTGTTGTTATAAACGAAAGTCGTGTGCTGTGAATCGTACGTAAAATCGAAAGCTGTCAATTACAATATTCAAGATGAGGGAAGAGACAGTATTAAGTTTAAAGTGGCATAGTTTTCCGTCGCATTTGGCAGTTTCCCTCGATACATGTTACGAGAAGCAACAGTTTGTAGATCTTTCTTTAGTATGTAAAGACGGAACGATTTTAAAATGTCACAAAATGGTATTGGCCAACTCGAGCTCGTTCTTTCGTCGCCTGCTCGTCGCCAACGATCATCCTCACCCTATGATTATTCTTCACGATATCGAAGCGGATGATCTCAAGACTATCGTCAATTTCATGTACTGCGGTGAAATACAAGTGGTTCAAAGTGAGGTTAGAAGGCTGTTGAAATTGGCCGAAATTTTGGAAGTCACCGGACTACGGCATATTCAAACTTCCGTTTTGGTAGGAGAATCGAACAACGCGTCTCATGATACGTCCAGGAAAACGACCACGGTATCTCGCTTAAAAATCGAAGAAACGAAATGTCTACCTACCAAAACAGTACCTGATCATGATCCTAATAGTAATAAATCACAAAATAAAACGGCCAGTCAATCGACAAAGTTGCCTTCGTCTACTCATCTTCATAAAAGCAGAAATAAAATCCCGCTGGACACTACCAAAAAAAGTGAAGAGGGTAATATTAATTTATTAAGTCAACGTTTAGATACAGGGCGCTCTGGAATCAGTATTGTAGACATTAACGACATGCCAAGTACTAGTAGAGGAATTTCCAACCCACCACCTCAAAAAAGAAAAGAGCCTTCTGAACCTGTCATTAGTTGGCCTCATGTTCTGTCTGCTATATCGAAGGATAAATCTTTGCCTTTGAAAAAATTATGTATTATGGACGAAGTTGAAATTACAGCTGGAAAACCACCTACGAGTAGTCAAGAGTTTCAGAGAAATGAACCTTTAGACAAAAGGAAACAAAGGACTAGTTCGGAAAGCAACAAATCTATGAAGTATGCGGTTTATATAAAAGATGAAGTAGATATATTTGAAATGGAAGAAGACGCGGATATGGACCCTCTTGAAGTCGAAGAAATTGACAATGAAAATTCAGAGACACTCATGGGATCGTCCCAAATGTTTCCTGTTACGAATGTGGAACAGACATATTATAACGCAGGGACGCTTTCTGAATTTCCCCCAAGAAAGGGATCCAACGGTTAATAGATAAAAAAAATGTTTTAAATTATTAATATATGTTGCTTTGAAGATAACACTTAGAGACTGAATAAAACTTTTTGTGATTATAAATACTTGTTTAAAAAAGAAGCTGCAAAATTTCAATATATATATATATATATATAAATTAACCATAGTTCACTACTTCACTTACTTATCACTTTCTTACATGATCTTGTTCATTTTCTAATAAATCAATTGAATATAAATGTTTCATACTTATTTAACACTTGAACCACTCAGCACATAATTCATGATACTACGTTACATGTTTCTATGGAAACCTTCTGTATCCAGTTGTCCTCGCGTTTTGGTTAGCTCGATCTTGTCCAATTATTTTTATTGAAAAGTATTTAAAGTATGGATCAGATAATAGATCATAATAAGCTCGGTGAAAAGATAGCAGAAGGTAAACAAATCATGGACAACTTAATGGTAGATAAACATGTAACTGAGGAAGAATTTCAGAACTTTATGCGTCGCGTTACCGAAGTCGGTAAGCATTATCTCCTTTTTCAATTACGAACGTAATCTTCAATTTATTAAATTTCAAGAAAAAGTTGTGAAAAAGTTGGCGTCTGCCGATCCTGAAGAACAGAAGCACGGAGAAATATTGGCCGATGAAATTTTGGGAAACCGGTTGGAAAAAGATATATGCGAGGATACCGAGTTAAAAATAAGAATTAATCGTACAGTGATTAACAAATGTTCGGTCAATGAAAATTCAACTCAGGAACAAATGTGTAAAGGTAGCAGGTAATGATCCTTGTGTTTTACATTCCCAGACTAATCGAAGGTTTCTTTATATAGAAGCGTTTATGAAAAGCGTGGAGAAAGATGCGAAAGAAAGAGCAGAGAACCGGAAAATTAGAAACGAACGAGCGGAAACGTTGAAAACAATCGGTAATGGAGCATTTAAGGAGAAAAACTACGAAAAAGCGGTAACATACTATAGTAAAGCACTGGAGCAACGAAAAGATTCGACCGTGTTATGGAATAATAGGGCTCTATCGTATATTCAGCTTGGATTATTCGAAAGAGCTTTAGCCGACTGCGAATGGGCGCTAAAAGTTAATAATACAAACTTGAAAGCCCTCTTAAATAGCGCAAAGTGTTATAAACAACTTGGAGACGAAATCAAATATAAAGAATACATTCAGTTAGCAAAAGAAAGAAATCCACACTTCAACAAATTTATTAATGGTATACTTCATATTTTTTACATTGGAAACATTTCTATTTAAAATTAACCTTTTTACTTGTAACCTTTCTTTTCTTTTTTTTTTCACAGAATTTGAAGAAAGTATGGACATGCGCGTTAATTATCAAGCCTGATCTAGTAATAGCATTTGATAGTAAACAATAGAAATATTTCTTGTATAGCGTGAATATTTCTTTTGTAATAACCTAAAATGCATTTGACTGGTATCAAGACGGATCTATTTTTGTTGCATAACCTTCTTTAATCTCTGAGAGAGATCTAGGTTCATGCAGAAAGACTGTACATTCAATTCCCTGAAAAAAGTTATTACTGGAATTGTTTGAAACTATTATATTTTATAATACAAATACTTATACCTGCATACGTGCTGCTCTAACAAATCCCTCATTCGCAGATACTGTAATGCTTTTCATATCTTCGCCTGTTGCAAAAACTAATCTAGATCTATCTTTAATTTTACCACCCAAATTAAGCTTCTCCATTATTCTGCCTGTTGGTATATCCTTAACAATCTGAACTTTACTAAGTAGTTCTTTTGCCCTAAGAGTCTCTTTGGGTCCACCGATAACATCTATAATGTTCATAAAATTTTCATAAGCAGTTTGACAGACAATTAGTTTCTTTCCTTTAAACAAATCCTCTAAAATAGGTTTCACTGGACGTTCTCTCTCCATTTCTGCTTGTTGCGTGAGTAAAGGTTCCCGATAAATAAAACGATCGTATCCATTGGTCATGTTTGTCACGTACGCTAATAAAGTTGACACATCCAAGTTGAGAACATTTATTTCAGTTTTAAGGAAAGATGTATTTAACGTATCTAAATCTGAATCTATGTTCTTTTTATATTCATCCAAGGGCTCCTCGGTAGATTCTAACGAATACATCCATGTGGAAAATCTGTCCTCGCTATCTACCTCCGGAAGAATAAACCATGAATATCATTTTTTAGTTAATGGCGTGAAACATATTCATGCATGTACCGTATTAAGAAAACATTAATACCATGTACATCTATATTTTTTACATCTTCACACTGCATTTTATCCCCTTCAACGATTATTCCCATGCGTTCCAAACGTGTAGCTAATGGAATTTCTATACCATAAGCAAAGTGGAATACGATATCGGGTGGCCTATACAAATGTGGATAGCACTTTGCGCATCGCAAGTAACTCATTGCTTGGTCAAGCACAGACTTTTGCCCGTATTCTCCATTACCCATTGAAATCATAGTGAGAGCTCTAGCATTTCTAGCAATAACTTTTATCCATGACGCACCACCGTTGCATACAATATCTACCTCTAAGCGTGACTTCTGATACTTAAAGGGTTTCATAACATTGGTAGGTTCATTAGCACAGAAGAGTCGTGCTACAATTGCGTTCAAATGAATCAAATTTGTACTCTGTAGATGTTCTTTCTTTACATTCCCTGTAGATTGTACCTTTATTGAGAATAGCATATAATTATAATCCTGATTCTTTTAACTTAAAAAGTATGTAACCACCTTGCATATTTATAATCAACGAGATTAGAAGAAACAGATACAATGAAATATTTTACAGATTGCCCGATTATAGATACGTATGATCGCTACTCAACCTCGTGAAGGAAATATATGTATACGGTGGAACTGTTATCGTAATTTCAAGGAGACATACCTTTTCTAAAAACTTAATTTCTTGTTGAATTTTTCGTATAAGTTTTTCAATCCCGTCAATCTTTCCCACAAGTTTCAGCCTGTCTATCGTGGCTTTGCCACTCTCTATTTTTTCCTCGATGCATGTTAAAAGCTCAGCCTTTTCCTCCATCCTCCCGGATTAAGCGATTTTCGACAAGTTGGCCATGAAAAATTCTATTTTCTGTGGTAATTCTAATAATTTTGGATAGTCCACGATCGACGAACGTAGTGTTAGCAGCCATCTTGCATCACAGTTCAATATCGCGTAATGTCGTCGGGTCGCTTGTCAAACTCGTCTATTAACCTCACAAACTTTTGTATTTCACCGAATAATTGACAGTCAAACATAATACATGAATCGTAATGATACCATGTTCCAGCGAATCGTGCGAAATGTAAAACTACAGACAGGAAACTAATTCGCGAGTGCAGAGCGAACGAAAACAAGGCTCCTTATCGCGCCGTAATTATCGCGCGCCGTCAAGTTTTCTCTGACAATAATAGAGAAATATCGCGGTATTTACGCTGCAAAATGTCTAGCGCGAAGATCATCGAAAATCCAGAAATACCGGGTGAGTTTCTATTTGTAGGAAAGAATTTCTCTCATTGATTCACGTTGTAGAAACATATGCCCTAGTGAATCTAGTGTACCGAAAATATGCAAACACGTAAATGTCCCGGACACGTCGATCATTGAAAATACATAAAACGTTCGTCACGTTGTCATTGTTGTATTTATGACAAGATATTTTTTATGAATGGTAGAGTGTCGCTGCAAACACAAACGTACGCCACCTAATGCAACAGCTTCTATTACAAACAACCGGATGTGACTTTTGATATGTCTATATCAGTCAATTATCAAAACAATTATTCAAAGCATGCACGTATTGCACTCTATATCTGGCACGTGAAATAAAAAGATGCGTTGGTTGTAGAGTACTGGTGTGCTTACTATCAAACTTTCATTCGGCGTTTCACTGTCGAAATCAGCTGACGGTTTAAAGTATGAAATAACGGACACATACGTGTATATATACCGATGCAACAGTGCGGTGATACATCTCTGTCGTTTTCGTAGGAAAACGCATAATTTATGAATGAAATCGAAATTTATCGACAGATCGTAATTAATTAAATAGCGATACGGATGTAAATGGATCACGTTACGTGGAATGTAGTATCCGTAACAATGTATATAAACACTCTGTTACCATTTAAGCGTATGTAGCATGATACGATCGTTGGTATTTTATGAACATTGTATCGAGCGTTATTACCGCGTTATGGGTTTCGTTCCTTACGCGCGATACTAATTTTTTCATCAAATTTAACCAATACGTTACTCCCGTTATCTCGATAGCGGAAAAGTTAATCGTGGATGCCAAAGCAGATTATTCGATCGCGAGGTGTAGAGTGGATATTATAGCAGCGTGTAGTCGATAAGCGAAATACGCTCACTGCCGTTTGTAACAGCTCGGGAAATGTATCTTGCATGTTACAAATAAAAATGACCGATATTACGGGTTACGTTCGCCGACTTATTCGAAATTAGCAAAATTAGTCAGAGCATTGGGCGCGATTAAATCCGATCTTGGAGCAAATTACGTTGATACGCATCTCTTCGGGTTTTATTATTTTATTTTTACGGTATATTTTATCCGCGGATTTTTATACATGGCTCGGAGGCGCTTAAACGGCCCGGTCATTTTATTAGCGAGATAAATCTAACGGTTAACGAAAAATTCTTTGGCATGCGCGTTTTATGTACCATTTACAAAAATTGCTGTGATAATTGAATAAAATATTTTCCGTTCGTGCATGATACAGGATTAGAATGTTTTCTGCCGCCGCCTCCACCGCCTCCGCCGCCTCCGCCTCCAGTTACAACGTCGAAAAGCAACAACTTGGCAATTACGACGGAGCAACAACAACCTGTGACAACAGAATCGACGACGACCGGTTTATCGACTAACGAAACAGCGGGAAATCTAACAACGATTCAAGCAGCAACCACGTCGTTTCCAAGCCTGCCTGTGCCAACAGCGTATATTATGCATCCGGCGATGCAACCACAAACACCTGGACAGCCAACTACACCCTGGTGGGTACCGACGGATTCCGATACATCGGACCTGTATGCACGGTGGTATGACACGACCTACAAAGCGGCAGCTGCGGCAGTCGTATCGCCGACGATACAAGTTTGCAACAAGACCAAGAACAAGTATTACAAACGCAAGAACGAGTTCATCGATCCCGCGGTAGACGCAGGTAATTGTTTGCGACACGTGATAACAAGTGAAACAAATAGGATATATTTGTTTCATGGAAAAAGTTCAGCCGGCCTGTAGAATACCGTATAAATCGTTATGCGCGTCAAATTATCATTGGAGAAATCCGATTCCAGATTCTTACGGTGTTTTAGCTAATTAAAGATTGATTTATGTTTCTATTTCGTAGAGAAAGTTGCAAGCGCCCAGAGGGAACTGGCAGCACTAATGAAACCGCTGAAATGCGATCTGTGCAATGCAGTTGTAAGGCTCGATTACTTTATCCGATAAAAATACACGCGCGACTCTGTTGAATATCGTGTCGTTGTTTGACTAACACGTATTTAAGTAAATACGGGAGCGAATATAGGTTGCTTAAAAATGTACGGTTTCAGATGAACTCCGCGTTACAAGCAAAGTTACATTACGATGGAAAGCCGCATCAGAAGAAGGTGTCTATGTTTTTGAATCAGAGTGTAAAGAAACAAAAGACCGAAGACGGCCAAGTCAGTAGTACGACCACCGACTGGCAAAACTATTGTGATGTAAGCAGATGAAAAGTACATCGTCGTTGGCGGAATGGAAAATAACAGGTAAATCGCGATTGAACGCTGTTACACGAGCGAAACGTGTTTGATTTGCAGATTTGTAAGACGTGGTTCACGTCGCAAACGGATGCGACGCAACACTACGCTGGTAAAAAACATATTAGAGCAGCGAACGGCGGACGTCGTGCGAGGTACAGAGATGTATACTTGTCTCAAATTATTCTTAGAAAGATAGCTGTGTCAGCCGAGATCGTCATACCAGAGCGTTGAATTCTACAGGCCGTCGAAGAAGTCGCAAAATCAAAATCAGTACAGTCAAATAGATCCCAGCGGCCGATTCGGAATGGCTTTTCAGACGGAAGTGCAATCTACACCGGCACAGCCGGTAGTACCTGACGGTACCAATGCGGTACCTGCACCAGCAACGGCCTCCATCTACACACCGCCACCTTATCCAACGCCGTTGCGTTGCGATCTCTGCGGTGTTTCGGCAAATCGACAGGACCAATTAGAAACGCACAAACGCGGTGCCAGGCACTTGAGAATGCTCAGATTGAACGGATTGCCCGTTCCCGAGCCTGGTAACTATTTTATTTCTACACATGTATCCCGTTCGTAAGCGTTAGGACAGTTTAGGACAGTTAGTCAGTTTGCATGAGCCACGATAATACATAATAACGGTAGTTAACCGAAGTAATAATTCTCGAAGATTTCGACGATATCCTAGCGATTGTTCAAGTTGGCGCACGCTTGCGTCTTAAAACTTACGAGCGGGGCAATACGTTCGTTCGTATCACGACGATGTTTATCGTATGAATGTTTTTAGCTGCCGAGAACGAGGCGACACCGGCTACTCCTGGACCTATAGATTATTCCATTTACCGAACACCATCAGGTAGGGATACCTTCTCGAACGTTTGAACGATAACCAGTCAAATCGCTCAGCAAACTGTTTCGTTTGCAGGCCAGTATTATTGTGCACCGTGCAATCTGTCGTTGAACTCCGAGAGTACGTTTGCTCAGCACGTGGAGAGCAAAAAACATAAAAATCAGTCGAACCCAAAGTCTCCGTCTAATGCCGTAGTGGTGTCGAAGAAAGCTAGATTCAAGAAGAAATAAGACCACGGGCGCATCGTGCACGTGCACGGTCGGTGCACGCTACTTCCTTGTCTGTCCATTGTTTTCACTGAAACTTTTCTCTCATTTTTCGGTTACGCAGATGTATTGTGGTTGTATCGCAAGCAACGTGCAGCGATCTGTGCCTAATAATAAGAAATAAAACTCTTGTTCGATATAGGGTCTAGCGGCGAGACTTTCGAGGAAGTCAGTAACCTCTGAGTCTTCCAACGTCACCGCGAGACTAACGAAAATTACGAATTAATGCGAAGCTAGATCCGATCGTCGCGCCACTGATGAGAAAGATAAGTCTGTTAGTCTGTTAATCGGTGTTTTAAATTAAATACCGATTAACTGTAAATTCGATTTTCAGTAAGCCGAACGGTTATTTAGACGGTAGCTCGTTAACCGTCTCGGAGGTTGCGCGACTAATCGCCCACATTTATTCAATTATGAAACCATTAGCTCGAACGCTCCCCGCCGTTCAATTCGCGAAATCGCGCGCGCTCGTACGGACGCGCGTTTGTCGCGTCCAAGTGAAATTTATGCGTCGTTCACTGCCGACCTTCCACAGAATTTATGACCGAGCGAACGAGCCATACCGAACCCTCCTCTATTAATTACCTCCTAAGACACGTATGACGGATCAACGTTTTCAGCCTGTTTTTACTGTCACTTCCCCGCGACAAATATATCTTTTGACAGCGGTGACCAAATAAAAATGTCGTTGTAAAGCATGAATCAACGTGCAAGAAACCCTGGAGCTACATTCATGATACCCAAAAATGGCAACAAGACACGTAAAAGCTGCGTCTTTTGGAAAGAAGCACGAATTAGTCGTCGCCGTTAGTAGTATCGCTAAAAGGGAGGAATTCTTCATAAAAATTTCACAGACTATCGCTTACCCAGCTCGAAGCTATCGAGAAAGAAGGCGAAAACTTTAGACAGCCTGGATCTCTAGACAGCGTGTTGAAAATTCCTCCGAGATCGTCTGCCTTTTGTTTCCACAAGGAGAATACCATTCCGCTGATTTTTCTTTTTTTTTTTTTTTTAACAAACACACGATAATTCGATCATCTAACTATTTCCCCCCGACCCTTCTTCTTGTCTTTCCGTCAGGCAGCTTCGGCTGCTGTTATTCCAGCGACGTGTAGAGATTAGGATCGTCCACGCACGGACTTGTAGATCGTTGGTTTATACCTGCGCATCGGATTTTTATGACCGCTGGTTCCACGTTTACCGTGTCTCTTTCGTTTTTTGTTCCTCGCTGCGTTCTCCCACTCTACGACATCACCGAAATCCCTTTTCCATCTTCTCGTCTGTCGTACACGTACCTACACCCGCTGCTATTTCTTTCGACTCTCGTGTTTACGATGGGAGAACCGAGATGTTGATTTTATGCAGCCTGGTAGCGTACGAGTGGTAGTGGAGACGCGGAGAATTTCCAGCGGAGACGAAGAACGGAAGTGAATTCGCAAGACAATCATAAAGGTAATACTGGTACACAATAAGAACGAGGGACGGAAATCGATTTGTCACGCGATCAGGTGTAATGCGCGTAAAAACTTATTAATCACCGAGCGTTCGCGTAGAAATTCGATAAATTCCTGCCGATGACTGGAGAGAATTTCTGAGAACCTGAAAGCGGCGTGAGTCGGTCTTCCTCTGAAATTGCCGGCACTGACGCGTCGGGATCGTCCAATAAACGAGAGCAAACGATCCAACCTCGTACAAGCTCGGCCAAAGATAAAAAAAGAAAGAATTTCACTACTATATCGAACGGGTTGTCTTCGATTCGAATATGATTCACCCTACGCGATAAATTCCCCTATGACGAAAATATATCTAACACGCCGAGGCTCGTACACAAGGCCTATATGGAATAAGGCTCGTGACCGCTGATTATGCAACTATTAACCAACTAACTAAACACGCAGAAATCCTCTTCCGTAATCGCGTGGACCCACGTTATTAACAAGAGATATCGAGCGAAAGATCGTCTCGGATAATGAACATCGACGAACACAGATGTAAATGCTTTGAACCGACGAACGAGTAAATTTATGGCCCGGAGGCATTCACCTTAAAAAAAGACACGGACGTTTCGACGAAGATTCGATATTGCACGCGCGTCGATTAGAATTTCTAATACTTGACGCAACGTGGATCACACGGTTCTAAAACCTACGATTTGAGTTGAAAACGATTCTCTGTTAATCCTTATAGTTGAACCGAAATGCGATTCCAACGGACGATTCCGACAAGTCCGTGGCTGGAGGCAGCGGTCACGGATTTTCTTTACACGCGAACCTTCATTTCTAATTCCGCAAACGAACGGCTAACTTTGTTAACACGAGAAACGGTACCGGTGCCAAGCAAGAGCAGCCGCTCCTTTGTCTCGCTGAATCCATTGTTCCATCTGAGAGTAATGAATTGGTAAAAAACAGCTCGGAGAGGCAGCAGGCGAACCGAGAATGCAAGGATTTCTTTTCTGTCCCGTTCGCCAGCCCTCGAACAAATTCGTACAATTATTTCTCGATTAGGCGAGATCGTTGCCCACTGCCAGTGGAACAAGGCCAGATTGCCGGCCTGTATTACAGACGAGTAGGAGAAAAACGACGCGTGTGCTTCGCAACGCGAGCCGCCTAATCGCGGAAATTTCGCAGGACGGCACACCCGCTTTAATAAGACGTTTTTGCGAATCAGCCTGTGGAAAGAGTTACCTCGGTGACGGGACGAAGACAGAGGAACGCGAGACGGGACGAAAAGAAAGGAAAGGGAATAAAAAGTGTGTTCCCGGGCGCATCTCGGTGGGGCTGACCTTGCAAGTCTTCACGGGCCACCAATGTAGACCGACAAGAAAATAGAAAATCGTGCTCCTAAATGCGGGCGGTGTGATGTCATGCGGAAATAGCCGCCCGTCTATGCTCTCTGCTCTCTGCCGCCGCGACAGAGAAAGGCGAACAGGGAATCTTGATCGGTCGACCGATTACCTCCTCGTCACTGAGCTTCCAACGAGCCGATAGACAGTTTTGCCTTTGCAATCCGCCAACGAAAGTTCGTTTGCGAACAATCCCAATCATTTTCCACTCGATTTTGCCCTACGCTTTTAACCCTCTTATCCTTCTATCAGTCACCAATAATTCCTATCGTTCATGGCCGCGCGATTCATATTACGAATATTCTTCAAATATTCTCAGAATTTTGAAAAGTATACGATTGGTTCAAGAACTGAATAAAAAAGAGAAAAAAAAGACAATTCTGCTAACGCGATCAATCGACCACATAATAAACATTAAACGCGTTTAATAGTGGTAAAACGCGTAAAAAGATAATCTTCGTATCTAGTAGAAAATTAATATACACCATACGAGCAGTGCTTCGAACGATTCCATTAAACATCGAGGCTTTCTCGCACGATTGATAATTAACCACTTATCTTTGTGTCAAACTGTACCAATATCGTCGCGATACTCGGAACTCGTTACGATGCTAAAGAAGTTTCAAAGTGTTTTGTACGGCACATAATCATAAAAAAATACTTTTGCCAGTCACTTGGTACGATAGAAACAGCTACGTACATACATATGTATCAGGAATATGCTAGTGTGCATAGGCGCAGGAAATGACGAGGAGGAGAAAAAAATGATCGCACTTACCACTAAAAATCGTACGTCCAGATTCACGTTCAACAAACCCTCGCAGTCGTCATCCAATTCTGGGAAAATCGATGAGATAACGATTGCCCTGGCAATGGTTTCTCTTCTCGGGTACGACGTTGCGCTCCCGCGTAATATTTCGTCGTATTGAATAACGCGTCGATTATCAGCGACCGTGAAAACACTATTACACGCTCTATATCTCGCGATTAAACGCTTTGCACGAAGGAACGATCTTTCAAAAAACGGTTTCACATACTTCATAAGTAGATTTCAAAACGAAATCACGAACCACTCCGTTCGAGTCTTTCGCGGTTTTCGATGTTTCAATAAAAGTAATTCGATATAGATTTGGGGAATTCTATATGAAAATATATCGCACACTAACGGTATGTATAACATGTATGTACAAGAGTCTGTCGTTTCACTAATTTCAATTCGGTAACGAAGAAAATTGTCAGCGACGCACCGATCGGTGACGAACGCGATCGCGACGATGAAAGTTGCAATAAATTACCCATAATTCATTTTTACTCGATCACGTGGTTTCAAATTGCAAGAAATTACCCAGTTTGCATCGCGTTGACGCGGTCACGTGACGAAAAAAGATACGTTAGTAGTTGATTTTCGGAAGATTGGCGGATTCGTCGTTCGACGTAATTGATCTAGGAATTTGCACATAATCAGGTAAAAATTCGTAAATAATCAAGCATCGTGTTTCGTTTATAAGAATAGATGATTTATTTTACCGAAAGCTCGTACGCATGAATATAGTATCTATACGAATAAAGATAATTATATCATTTTTTACGATTTTGAAATCGTATAGGTTGGCAAGGATAGAAGATGTATGGCTTCTGTGTACGATGGGAGAGAAACCCGATTTTCAAGTTCTCGAAGAAAGGAAGAAACAAAGGGACAAAGGTGTGCGAAGTAAATTTTAAACGATATTTCGTGGCGGTCGTCGTCAACTAAAGTCACCAGGAATTCAAGTGCGGAACTTTGCGGATGTGTATGAGAACGCCCGCTGTCATACCGCCGGCACGATTGCGCATGCGCCTGGCTTACACTTGACGGGCTCAAAAAATCAATGACCCCGCTCAGTCGTGGGTCCGTTTGCATCTTTCTCTCAACGAGCTAGGAAGACCGGGAATAAAATCAGAAATCGGTTCGAGGAAACGCGCTGAACGTCGATGATCGCAGAATCTAGCGGGCAACTGTGACGAAAATTTCAGGTAGGAGTGGGAAAGAAGCGATGGAGGAAAATGGACGGTAAGGGTGCAGCCCCGGTGGCGGCGCTGGTGTATACCGGCCGAATAGCGGTTCGGTGAAACCAGCCGAGCGACCTCGTCTCGTTTCGGCTCGCCGCGTTAGTTCGTGTTCTCTCGCAGCACACGACGGACGTATACTATTCCGCGACGGGTCTCGTGTTCTCTACTCAAGGGAGAAAAAAAAGCTAAACTGTTATACGCTACCGAATCAGCGTGGAACACGTAATTCAGTGATTTACGTGTAAACGAAAAAACTGTGTCGCAAGTTGAGAAAGAGAGCGGAACGCGTGTCTCGCGAGAACGACACACGAGGTCGTAAGTGCTTCGACCGGCGATAAAGTTTCGTTGTGACTTGTGTAAGGAAAGAAAAAAAAAAGGAGAAAAGTGGTGAACCAAAGGAATGTGCGAATATATATCGTTCGCGTCGTGTATAACAGTACCAGGCACGGTTTAACGGCGAGAAAAAGTCCGGTAATCGGATCGATTTTAGGTAGAACGCGGTTCGGTGAATTGTCAGGGGAGAGTATATACCTCTACCATCGTAGCCGTCGTCGCGGTGCACCGTCCATCCACCTTTCGCGTTGCCGCGAGTGCACGGGATAAAATGGCGCTTGCTTTCGTCCGTATACCTCTATCGACCATGACAAACGATTTAACGACGGAATCGCGTCGACGCCAGTCACGACGTTTTTGAGCAGCCGAACGTTTCGCGGCATTGCTTCCCCTCTTCGCCCCACCCTCTTGCCCCGTTTCGATCGTTTTAACGCCTTTTTCTCTACGAATCGAAACGCTAACGTCACCGCCAGTCACGGGATCGCGATTCGAGGAAGACGACAATTTACAACGAAGGAAGAAACAATCTCGTACACCCGCGGCGTCCTTGGACTGGAATTTCGAAAACAACAAGCGTCGAGCGACACTCCTCGTTCGTGTTACGGTAAGTAAAAACAAGGCTTCGCATTAATTTACAAAATCCTCACCGACCGTTGTAAACACGTCGATACATAAACGCGTAATAGCGTTATATATTTCGAAATCGAAAGCAGCTTATCCCCGGAATTGAAGATAAGTTTACAATCTAGTGGCGAGCTGCAATTCGTGTCGCGATAAATCCCGGTTCGACGCTACTCAGCGCCGAGAGAAATGTTCGTTTTCCGTTTGTTATCCGCCACTTACGACACCAGATATTAACGATCGCAGTGAAAGGCATTGATTCGTTGAACCTCAGAATGCTGTGTCAGCAGCGTAGATTCCATTCGAACAGGTTTGCCATTTGATTCGCGTTACCTTCCCCGACGCAAGAAATAGCAGACAGCGAGACCGATCTACAATAGCGATTCAAGTCCGGTTACGAGGAGAGACATTTTTTTTCCCTTGAAATCTCGATTTTTGGAGGTTTTTTCGGCAGAAAGTGCACAGCGTGTATCAACGATTCCATAATTATGCAAATAAATGTTGAAAGGGTTTTGGGGGTCGCGGGGCCTATTTGAAAGTCTGAGTGACACGCACGCACATACGAAGCTAGCTAATGTGTACATAGGTAACGCGTGTGTGCACAGTCGACTGAGTACACACGCGCTTTCGCACGCGCCTAAACGTGCCAAACGCGGTTCGCCCGTACGCGCGGCCAACATACATGTACTACTCGGAAAATGACAGGCCATCGGTGAGCCGGTATGTTTGAGCTCGCCTCCTCGTGCAAATATTTTGCGCGGGCAAACATTGGTCATGACGGATCATGCGCTCTCCTAGAAGGTAGACGGGAAGAAGGTGCTTTGCGTCCACTAAACAACGGGATATCGTGCCGACTTTTGCGTAATGTCACGGACAAAGAACCACCGATGGGTCACACTAGAGATCCAAGAATCGTAAATTACCGCGTTAACATAGACGAGAAGTCAAGATATAGATCTTCGTGGTACATCTTTTACCGTATCGATCCCATCTTGTCGCGTAAGTTTAGATGTTTTAGATTACTAAAAAGATAAATTCACGTTACCGAAAGATCTCTCGATCGAGCTATCGCAAACGGAACTTTTACGAGGGTAGCTGATTCGATTCTGTATACGTCTAATCAGGTTTTGTCGCGTTCTATTTTACACGTCGTGCCACTGTAAGAATTGAAAAATTGTAGTAAAGTGGTTTGCCCTATACGCGCATGAGTAGCGGTTACGTCGTAACAGAATTTTGGCCAGGTTTCAGTCGTAAAATAGGGTTCGGTTTAGAAAGTTGACACTAGCGTGGCTAGGTTGAATGGTAACTTTTACGATTGGTAGTTTCATGGAAATTTCAGCAACCCCTACTGTGTTGTCTACCTGTTGGCACAAGTAACGCTCTTGGTTTGCAAAAACAAGAGGACCCGTAGGTTTACCGAGTCCATCACGGCGTGAGACGCGATGAAATTGTAGAAATGCTGGTTTTCGTCAGATCCCCAGTGTACACTGGCGTTGCGTCTAATCTAGGCGAGCGTACGAACAGTCTATCTAACAGTTGCAGGCAAACAATTAGCGTTCATCGATGCGCTTAGTCGGGACAGTTGTACGTCGAAGCGCAGTTCATTTGCATAATCTTGCGTTGCAGTTGCGCGAGTACAGTGGATGGTTGTTAAGGCGTGTGTAACTCAACACCATGATCGATAACCGTTGCTTGTTTTCAGCTTAATTTCATTTTCTGGTATATAACCGCGTGCCGGAGACATTCGTGGCAATTAGCCTCAATTTCGAGTTCCGTCTGAAAGCCGCTAATTCGTGGTATAACGTTTCTTGCCCTCGGTACCGGCGCGCGGCGTCCTTCTTTTCCCTCGCGCTTCCACCACGTGAGAACGGATTCTCGATGTTTGTCTTCACGCTTGTGGCACCATCCGCTCGTCAGATCTGCCCGATAATCGTCGAACCGTTAGACGAAAACGATCGTGTGCCAAGAACCGGCGAATGTGGCGAACGAGAGAGGGGCCGGTACGTAAAGAATCTTCTCTCGGTTTCGCTCGCGTAGCTCGTACGTGTACGACACATGTAAGGTTGAGCGATGTCGAGAGAAGCAATCTCGCGCCGGTATCGAGGATTGGAGCGATTAATTATGATTACTGGTATTATTATTAGAGGCGTGCGTAGCGGCGG